GATAAACCCGGGCGGCTACGCTTTAGCAGGTAAACAAACTTGTTATCCTGTCAACTTTCTGACGGGGTATTATCAACACTGCAGGCTCACAGAGACGATAAGGCCTGTCTAAATGTATTGATGGGGCCATATTTTGCTGTGTGTGTGTGTACAGGAGCAGCTGCCTTCTCTGGGGCTGTGACACACACACTCTCTCCTGCCCTATTGGCTCTGGAAATGACTGGCCAGTGCTCTCATGCCGTCCCCGCTCTGGTTGCTACGCTGGTATCCAATGCGGTGGCTCGTGCAAAGCACCGTCCTTCTTTCTACGATGGCATATCTCTTATTAAACAGCTCCCGCACTTGCCATCTCTCATCCGCGCTTGTCCAAAGTGAGTAAACACTCTGCTCATCTGCCTTCAGGCTCCACCGCTAAATTGCATTTTTCTTGCGTTTCTGTCTGCAAATCAAAATTCTGAGGGGAGACATCAAGGCAGTGATGGCTGGATAGTAAATTGTTTTCATCATGAATGCTCTCCCACAGGCTGGCCAATGTTCAGATCAAGCAGTTTGTGATCCCAGCAGGAGTTGTGCTGGAGAGGACAGAGACACTGGCAAGTCTGCAGCACATCCTAAACGACAGTGCAGACGACCAATTTCCTGTAGTGGACTCTCACGGTGAGTCTAACGAATATCACCAGCTCAACGACACAATCGCACCACTTTGACTTTAATAGCACCTTGGTGCTTGACAGAAGAGAGTGAAAGCCAATGAAATGTGTGCCGATAAGGGCCAAAGGCCAAATGATTACGCGCTGATGAGTAGAAATACTCAAGACTGCACTGTTGAAATAATGTTTCAGTACAGTACAATAATGGTACTATTGAATGAAATGAGACTGACAGTCTGAGGCTCTGGCTTTTTTCTCTTGTCTCCCAGACTCCCCTATTCTCCTAGGTACAATCAACAAATCACAGCTGCGGGAGCGTCTGCATCAGCATAGAAATGAGGTAATTGAACCCATAATGTGCAGAGTCATAACAAGAACTGTGCAAAGTTACTGAAAGAATAATAAAAATAATTAAAGAATAATTAAAGTATGTAAATTCAGAGGCTGGTTTCTCAGTTGGGGCTTCTTCTTTTTTTTTTTTTTTTAGGGTCACAGACAAGGAAAAAAAACATTTTCAGTTCACACAAAGTGTTTTTGCATTCCACTGCGGAGCTTTTTAATCGGTTCTTCCTATGTAAACATACGCTTTGTATGTAAACATGACCATTGTGTAGAGTTACACTGATTTTTAGTGTCTCGCACATGAGTGCCATGTTTTTCTGATGACCCCATGCTTCACCTCAGTGTTTTTTTTTTTGTAAATATAAAGATAGACTTTCATTATATAGGCCAAAACACTTGAAACAATCTACAAAATATAGAACAAAGTACAAAATATTTTTAAGTTTTTTGGTGAACTTTTAAAACTTTTGAACGGTCCCACAGAAACATAGTAGATCTTCACATAACTGAAAGTAGTGAGACATGCCGCAATAGTCGAAAACATCTATTTAGTGCAAATTTAAAGGGATAGTACACCCAAAAATGAAAATTCTGTCATCATTTACTCAACCTCATGCCTTTTCAAACCTGTGTGACTATCTTTCTTTTGTGGAAGAAGATAATTTGTTTCTTTTTTTTTTCATACTAGGGAAGTCAATGGTAACCAAAACAGTTTGGTTACCAACATTCTTCCAATTATCTTCTTTTATGTTCCACAAAAGAAATGAAGTCATACATGTTTAAAATGACATGAGGGTGAGTATGTGATGACAGAATTTTCATTTTTGGGTGAACTATCAGTGGAACGCAAAAATTCAATGTGAACAGACCCCAAAGCTCTAGTGTTTTCAATTTGTATGCAACGAGATCAAGGTTCAAATTTGAAACTATAATTTTTAAAATAATAAATCAAGCTAAATTGCGACTGAACTTGACAGTGTTTTACAGTAAAAAGCATTGTTAGTTATTGTTATTTAACTATTGGGACCTTATTGTAAGGTGTTACCTTTTAAGTTACATTCAAAATCATCTCGGCTCAAAAATCTAAGGCACATAACATTTCTGCTTCCCATCATAATTAAATCTTTTTTTCTTGCAGGATTTATGTAAACAGCTTGAAGAAGCATGTTCTATTCAACCTGTGCGGCTACATCTGACTCCTGAAAGCACTGTAAAGCAGGTGCAGTGAGAATAAACTGGTAGCTGGTTTACTTCACATTATGCGAATGTTTTTTTTCCCGGTGTTCCTCTACATAATGTGTGTTTGTGTGTGTTCTGTCAGGCTCATTGCATCATGAGTGTCACGGGTGAGCAGCATCTGTTTATAACGGAGAGTGGGCGGCTGTGTGGCGTCATCACATGGAAAGAGGTGATAAGAGCAGCCTGCACAAGGACAACATCCATACGTGAACCAAATACTGCTGAATACTCCGCTCATACTGACTATATGTACGCATAGCAAAAAGGATGTTTTTATGACACTTGATTTTTCTTCCAGATGAAGAAAATAATCGAAGAGATGGCAAAGGAAGTCTGATGCATGGACAATTAGCTCAGACATCAGATATCACACACCCAGGACAGGCATCGATTTGTGCTTACCATTTTGATAATCATTTCTGCTGGTGATTTTACTTAGATGATTATGTGGATAATTATTTATAGTGAAATAATAAAGAAATCTTATGAAATGAAGCAGCAACTTAATAGTTCCTCCAATGTAAAATATTTTATTTATTCTAATTTTTAGAACAAAAAATAGCAAAACCACCAACAGAACATTTTGCTGTAAACATCTGTTTATGACAAAATTGTACAGAAGGTTAATTTTATGATACACTGATCTACCTTAAAATTTACTTTTAACTATTTTTTTTTAATGCAGATTTATAGGACTAATGAAAATCTAATTTATGATTTTCAGTTTTCGTCATGGTGATTAAATCAGTAGTTATTCCTTAACCATCAAATAAGTGAAAAGCAAACATCAAAGCAAACTTCTTTTATTATTTATTTTTCACAAATTGTGCTTCTCCACCAATTTTCAATATAGTGAAATATATATTCTCGAAAAGTTATACACTTTAGGATCATAAAAAAAAAACAAAGGGGAGAAATCCAGGGTCCTGTCGTACCCTACTGCTGTCATGCTGAATGGATGGATCCGATAAAACGGACCCTGTATAATATGATGTACATGTCTAGAGTTTGAAATGAGATATCTGTTTTTAACCTCATGCAGCTTGTTAGCTTTATGAGCCTCACGCTGGGAGAGAAGAACAGAACAAAGGCTTCAGTAATAAATGACCTTCGTTTGATTTCTCAACCATCCCAATTCTGCTCTTTTCTCTGTATTTCGCTCATTATTCATTGTGCTTTTTTTTCACAGAAAAGGTTTTATAAGAATTCATTTAAATTCAGTGTATTGTTCCTTAATATATTGTGTTGAAATTGAATTCGTTACAAACACAATTTAAATTCTGCTCACCGCCCCAGAGCCTCTATCAACACAATTAAATCCTACTTCAAACCCTCCCCTGGAGCACCAAAGCAGTCACACACATTATCTGACACAGCACACGAGGATCACACTGTGTAAACTTCTATTAAAAGACCCTGGAGCATGATAACACTTGACCATTCCACCTCCCAACACCCTCCTCTCTCGCCTCTTCTGCTTCTGTATTTACCATAATCCCCTCCGCCACTGATTCCCCTCTTCTGCCTCATCCCTCACTATCTCTCTCTTTCCATCACCTTTCTTTGTCAATGGAGTGTGAATAGGACTAATTACAGAGAAAAGGCAGACGATTGTTATTCCAGCTGTCACTCTTTTGTCTCCGACACTCGCAAGAACACGCAAGAATTTTCTTGTTAGCAAGCGATTTCTGCAGCAATAGATCTTTTAAAGATTAAATCATAATTTTCACATACAAAGGACTGCACAATATGGTTGACACAATAATTAACACAATATGGAGGCAAGTTACTCAAAGGTATCTTAGGTAATACTTTTTTCAATTACTACATATGTGATTTATAAATCTGTGGCAATTGTGACCATACCCCCTATAAAAACAAAAAAACAAAACCAAAGTTGAAGTGTGTATTTTTTTTTTCTTTTGAAGTGTGTAATATTACTAAAAGTTTATATTAATGCTAATAATATTAATATTAACATTAATATTAAGAAATCAATGAATTGCTACAATTAAGCCATTTATAGTTTGATTTCATTTCATAATCCACGTAATATGAATATAATTAATATTATTTCATATTAATAATAATTTACTTTTTTCAATAAGTAAGCCTTATGTAGTTTGAGTTAATGTTAAGATAATATTAATAAATCAATTAATTGCTGCAAGTCTATATATCTCGTAATCCATCTTCATAATATGAATATTATTAATATTAATTAATATTAAGAATATTTTTACTATAAGTAAGCCATTTGTAGATCAATTTCATCTGTGAGCATTCAAACCAGTGACACTGGCTTGACCAATGGCGTGAGTTTGGGGCGGGGCTTTCTTTTTTCCCCAACCAATAGCAGATGGTGAGAGTGTTTAGAAAATGTATTTGAAAACAGTTAATATTTTGCTATTCTGTTTGGTGAGGCTATTAAAATGACACACTTCATCTTTGAGGATACATGTAGTCATTTGCTGTGTTAGACGTTTTATACTCAAAATCTCCATGGAAACATTTAGCAATATGAAAAAACGTTCATGAAAAAATCTCCACCAAAATAAGGTGAAATCTCCACCTCACTGTCCCAAGTAATGACTGCAGCTTTGCCCAAAGGCATAAGTCACTTTCACCCTCCAGAGTCCTCACAAAAGGATCCTATTCAACCCTGTAGCCCCATTGAGCTGTTCTTAGTGGAAATGCCTGTGGAGATGTGGAGATGAAAGCGCGTTATATTTTGGCTTTCTTCTTCAGTCTATAGTGCTAATAGGCCTCCACTTCTTTGTGAAAGGCTACTGCAGATATCTGCAAATACTCAGTTAAAGGTGAAAGGGCATGATGGTCTTGATCACCCCTCTGTTAATGTATAATTTTAGATTCATGTGCATTCATGTGCGATGACCTACCTTTAGACGTAATTGGTCTGACCCTGTTAACATAAAGTCCAATCTCCATCATCATTACCGCAAACAGAGATGCTTTAATTTGCAAAAAGGCAACGTGATATGGAAATAACATGTCCGTGTGTACAATGATCCCTGTGTTCATTGCTTGTCAAAGAGGCTCAGCTGTGGCTATTACATACTTTAACAGTAAAGCGATAACCCCAGACGTATCCTCATCCGCATCTCTCCCACATCAGTGAACACAAAGAACAGACGAAAAACCTTTTCCCTTTTCGTTCCACTGTGCCATCAACATTTCAGTTACAAAAAACCTCATCCTCCAACAGGGAGATGCTGTCTGCGTGTCGTACAGACCCTTCCAAAGGCGAGATCCTCTGCTCCTGCGGCGGACGCTGTGTGTCCAGCGGAGAATGAGAATGACTGGGGGAATGAGACTGAGGAGGATGAGAAGGCGCCAGGGAGCTGGTGTCATCAGCTTCCATGTGCATTCTGTACAGGTGCCGAGGAACACCCAAACTCCCTCCATCCAACAGGAACTGAGAAAGATAGGGGCCCTCGGGGTCTGTGAAGACATCATCATCATCATGAGAGCAGAAATTAAAAAGACCTCAAACACACACATCCTCTAGATAGAATGAAAATTATAGCGTAAATGAATAAGCCCATTAAATCCAAACTCAATATTGCGGTCTGATCTACTCGATCCATGAGCCATCGTGTCCCAGACACATTCAGACATTTCTGTTTTGCAGTCCTTTATTCGTGTGCAAGGCTTAAAGACTCATCAGTACCGGGGTAAAATGTTTTGGGTTTTTTTGCACCTGGCTAAACAGGCCATTTGTCATTATACTGTGCTTATTATTGCACAAGGGTTATCATCCCCTCATAATTAAATAACAGTATTTTTTAAACAAGCTGGGACAGCGTGACATGAACCAGACGGTCAGAATGACCTCCCTAAGTACTATGCTACTTTTATTCAATAGATGTATAAATAAAATATATATGGGATAATATAATTAATAACATATAGGAAAGTAAGTTGTGAGATCTTTCCCTGGCAAAAATGGTTCTTTATAGTGGAAAAAAGGTTCTTTAGTTCTTTACGCTAAGAAATATGGTTCTTTTTACTGCTGACTAAAAGGTTCTTTGAGGAACCAAAAATGGTCACATCTCTTGGGAATTGCAACTTTGAGTTTGGAGCAATACCTTGTAATGGAATTGTACAGGATGTGGCTATATTTTCAGGATCGTGTGTGGACCAGGCATTCATCGCTGCCTCAGCCAGAGCAAACTGCTCCGCCACACCTGTGAGAAGAAAAAAAAGATAAAAGGTCACAGATACACAGAGTGCCAGAAAAAAACAACAACTGTATAATTGCGTAAGAAATATGGACTTATATCTACTCTGTTTTTCTCACTCATGTCCTATGAATAAGCATTTAAAATTTAAACGAATATTCATGGAAATTACCATGACCAAAGTGATATTTCACACCTAAACATTTTCTGAAAATTTACTCGCCCTCAGGCCATCCAAGATGTAGATGAGTTTGTTTCATCGTTAGAACAGATCTGTAGAAGTTTACCATTACATCACTTGCTCACCAGTGGATCCTCTGCAGTGAATGGTTGCTGTCAGAATTAGTGTGCCAAATAGCTGATAAAACCTCACAATAATCCAAGTAATCAACATGACTTCAGTCCATCATTTAATGTCCTGTGAAGGGAAAAGCTGCATATTTAGAAACAAATCTATCATTAAGGCGTTTTAACTTTAAACTGTCGCTTCTGGCCAAAATACCGGTCCGTAATCCATAATAAAGCTTCCTGCATTGAAAAAGTCCATCCTCTGTTGTCCTCCCACATTAAAATTCACTGACTTATTTAGAACTGTTTTAGACTGTATTCACTAGTAACCAGTGCCTATTTCTCTCCTGATTAAGATGAGACAACTTTTTCATTGGAGAAAGCAATATTATGGATAGAGGACTCGTATTTTGGCTGGAAGCAACATCTTAAGAGTGAATTTTTTTATTCCAAAATGCAGCTTTTTCACTTCTCATGATGTTAATTGGTGGACTGGAGTCATACTTGTGGATTATTGTGATGTTTTTATCAGCTGTTTGAACTTTCATTCTGACGGCACCCATTCACTGCAGAGGATCCATTGGTGACCAAGTGATGTAATGCTGAATTTCTCCAAATCTGTTCCCATGAAGAAACAAACTCATCTACATATCAGATGGCCTGAGGATGAGTACATTTTCAGCAAATTTTTACTTTTAGGTGAACTATTCATTTAAAAAACAGAAATCCTTCAGAGTGTGAGTCGAAATTTACACTTGTGAATAAAATATTAGCAGTTTTTACAGTAACAAAGTCACAAAAACAAGCCTTGTTTTTAGCATGTTGCTGTGTGGTTCCTTTAGTTGGTTGTTTACTTGCACAAGTTAAAAAAAAAACACCCCCATTGACACTGTCATATTGTACATGATGTAATCAATATCTGGTATGTCTACACTGGTTGCTACAGTACTGATTTGAGCGTCAACACGTCAACATGAGACATACAAGAGGAGTTATCAGTGTGGAAACAATGAATGGAAAATTCCTGCCTTCCTGTTCTTGTCCATCATACCATTTTGCCGCAGCACTGAACTTGTGAGGTTCATTAGACATCACAATCAAAGTATTACTGTATTTCTACTTATTATGCAGGGCTAAGGTTTAGAGATTAGCTTAAATCTGGGTAGTTAAATGTTAAATATATAAATGCTGTCTCACCCGCAGCAAATCGTGCTTCTTTGATTTCATCAGTGAGGTGGGAGTAGAGCTGCTCGTCCTCCTGCAGTGTGGCTCCCAGACCTCCCCATCCTCCACCATCTCTCGTCCAGCCACACAAGCCCCCTCCAGACGTCGCTTCCCCTCCCCAACTCTTCCACTCAATCAGGTGGGCGACTCGGCCCTGGGCCATCGCAGTGGGCTTAGTGATGTGGTCTTTAATAGTGGCCAGCAGTCCTGAGGAGATCGGAGGGATTAGCATGGGTGCAAATCAAATGAAATAAAAGAAATGAAAAGAAGGAAGGAGGTGAAGAGGTGATGCTAAAGAGGGGGAAAAAGTGACATAGAGCTTACTCTCTCCAAAGTCATTGAAAACTGAACAGTCTTTTAGGATTAGTGTCTGAAAGCAGGGACCAGAAGACATTTTCAGTGGGTTACACTTTGGGGCCCCATGGCATTTATTTCAAAGCATTAGAGTCACAAATACCATGTTTTGAGAAATATTAGCTATGTGAAATGAACAATTATGTAACAGCCTAGCATGAAAAGTTAAACTGTATCTTTCCCCTTAAAATGGTAATTTTGGCCTGCAACACCTCAGAGGTCTTGACATTTACAATTGTGTTCAACAATTAAAACCATAAAACAATGTCATAATTTTGATTTAATTTTCATTTTGTTGTAGTTATATACACACACATATAAAATGGGTACTTTATTTTGCTTGTATATGCTATTTTGACTCTTAAAGTGAGTCCGTGGACTTGCATTTCATGAAACACCATGGACAATGGTTTCAGCTAAAAATCTTCTTTATTGTTCTGCTGAAAAAAAAAAGTAATCTACATTTTAGATGGCCTGAAGGTGAGTAAATTCACAGCAAATTTTCATTTTTCATTTTTTCATTAGAATTACCGTATTGTCCCGAATATAAGACGATGTTTTTTTCTTGGAAATACATTTGAAAAAACGCGGTCGTCTTATATTCGGGCCAATACGGTACAAACCAACATTTGGTCTCAAACTGGATTGCCCTTACTGGGTGCTATAGGGTTAATTTTCCATCCTGCTATCCATTCTGTCAGCATGTTTATTTATTTGTTTAATGTTTATTGTAATATTTTAATATTTATTGTAAATTACAAAACTATAAATACATTTTAACTATATTTAGACATGTCCCAACTTTTGGTAATCAAACTAAATAAATGTGTACTTTTTGTGCCCAATGCATTAGTGGAAAGGAACATTTCTACATTGGCAAAGTGGGCGCCTAATTATCGTGCAAGTCCTTACAAACCTATTACTGGAAGTAGCAATAATTTGCATTCCCCATGACATGTGTTTTATAAATTAATCTTTCTAATAGCATTTTCCCCCAAAGCAGTTCATTTCTAGCATTTTTTTCAGTTGATCAAAGATTTGTGTGTTTTTTTGTTTTTGTTTTGCCTCATTATACATATTCATCAGCTGTGACAGCATTTATAATTAGACTGAAATGATCAAAATGTTCTTTGGAAAAGCTTAAAAACCCATAACACATTATTAGTCTCTGTAATTAACTTTCTGAAAAGAGTGGGCCTGGAGAAGTCAAGCAAAAAAAAAGAAAGAAAGAAAACAGGTGGCTAAAGAGGCACTAGAGAAGGAGAGAGAGAGATTGTTCATAAATGAGAGATATGCAGGTAGATAACATTAGCAAGATTCTGTATAGGTCGACTGCTCTTCTGAATCAGACGAATGATTCTGAACGACAGCAAAAACAACATACAGTGTGACAGTGCCTAACATGCGCTCTTTGCTCCTCACCCAGCAGGGAAGATGTAGCCAGTTCTCCAATGTCATACCCACTGCTGCTCCTTTTATCTGACATGCTGCCATTGTTGGACTGATGGTTACCCTGAATAACATGACAAGACAGGAAACACAAGACAGCCTAACATACCAAATAAAACCTTTCAGAAATCGCATTTGCAAGTGAATCACAGGTGCTGATTACACCTAACAAGACACTTTTACCAGAACTTACACATTCAGAGTGCGAAAGCACTCCCATGTATCATTGAAATTTATACATTTTCATATACTGAATTCTGAATGATAGGTTTATAAACTTGCATCCGTCTCCCACTTTTGATTTTACGTGATAAAACACACCTTAAAGATGGGCTGTCCCTCAGCATACGAGTGAAGCTCTTCCATAGGGTGCTGCTGGCCACTTTGCAGCTCTAGAGAGACAAAATATGTTCCTGGTAAATGCATGCAACTGTTTATTTTATATGTTTGTCAATGACAGATAACAGTGTGTGTGTGCATGTAGCAGAGTGCATTGAGTTTGTTCTGGAGTGGATGGACGGGACTCACTCCTGTTGCTCTCATGTTTCCATAGCAACAAGAGATTGTCTTGACAACACCACCCTGGGGATCCCCAATGTTCAAGAGCACATTTTTCGTCACCGGCCGCATCTCATTGAGGTTAGACCTCAAAGAGGACAGCTAATCTCAGACCTGTGGAGCTTTAGGTTCCCGCCAGCATGTTATTTGCTAACAGGTATCAACTGACAATGCGTGACCTTTACAATGTCACACGTTGTGCGTGTTTCCCCCTCTACAACCCACCTCCCATTCATCACCGTGAAACTCCATCCATCTCACATATGCATTATACATCAGCTTTGACCCTGGCATTTCACGCTTCATGCTCCGCCTTAGCTACGGAGCACAGGACCTTCTAACCCCCACAGGGCTCAGACAAACAAACACTACTCTCCGCTCTCTGGGATTTACAAATCATCCACTTCACCGGTGCCATTTCCTTGGAGGACACCTTGAGGATGAAATGTCACCTCTTACCTTAGACTCCATTTGTAAATACTGTGACACTACATCTCTGTACCAAGATTGATCTGTCTCGCTGGCTTACAATTCATAATACCCTTGTCTTATTCAGATGGGATGATACAAATGAGAACAGAATAATTTCCCTCTGGTGCTCAGAGGAAACTTCTCAGAATTAGCTGTGCTATTCCAGCGTCAACAACTGCTTCTGTTTGGCCAGTGAATTTTGCGCCAAATAACTTAAATAAATCCCTCAGTGTAGGAAGACGTGAAAGAGATAATGCACACAGATGCTCACAAAATCTATATATATACGTGGACATGAAATATTGATTTGAAAAGTATTTTAGTCATTATGCAAGGGATGATGAACGGCAATTATCACAAAATAAACCTGTTTAATAGTTAGTACACAGCTACTCAACAACTAAATAAATATGTGGACAAAATATTGATAAGAAAATTATGTTATAATATTTATAGTCATTATGTAGGTGATAATATACAGTCATTATCGCAAAACAAACTGGACAGAGTTTAATATACTTATAACACAGATAGGCCTTCTCACCAAAAAATATAGGTGTGTCCCAATTGCTGTACTTATGCACTATTCTATGATGTTTTGTAGTATGAATAGTGCGCGTAGTGTGTGTTCACACTGAAAATTCCAAAAAGAAAAAGTACACTTTAATTATCCGGATGATGCACTTAACCGAAAAAACTAAATGTGGAATGTTGGACACTTCGTGCACTCAACTATCGCAGCTTTAATTACATAGCGGAGGGGGAGGGGCTATCAGACTCTGATTATGAATGACAAAATAACCTTATATAATTCCTACACTACACGGTTGAGTTCATAGTGCATAAGTACAGAGTGTTTAAGTGCATATTGTACAGTGTGTCATTTGGGATGCAGCTACTGAAAGCAAAATAAATAAACCCTGACAAAGTTTAAACACTTAATACACAGCTACTCACAAAATAAATAAATATGTGGACATTCAATATTGATTTGAGATTGATTTTATAACCTTACGGGTATAGTATTTTAAACATTTCACCAAGAAAAATAGTCAATAACAATGTACAAAACAAACAGCCTAGCTACAAGACAAACACTGCAAAATTATAACAATAATAATGCATACATATAAAAAAATAATACAATAATACATATAAAAATTATATTACATGTATTATTAATTCAGTATATATATATATATATATATATATATATATATAATTCATTTAATTTAAATTTAAATTCATTCATTTAAATTACTTTAAATTTATATATATTTTGAATTAATGCCTTAACTCCCCAATTAAAAGGGAGGAGCCGACTGATATACAGCGTTGCATGGACGCCGGTGGTGAATATTAGGAAACATCAGACCGCTGGATGGCACGATTGACCAATCAGAATCAAGTATTCCAGAAAGCTGCGTAATATTTAATTACAGTGCAGTATGTAAGCATCAGTATACAGTATTTTAGCAGCAGCACACTCTGCTGAGAAAATAAACAGTGCATCAGTATAAAAAACTATAAAAATTGCACACAATAAAACAGTTTATTCATATAAACTGCACTTATTTCAGTCACTCACAACTGCATGTGCTCATTTTGCATTATATTTGAATAAGCTGTGATTTTTTTCACATTCATACATTATGTAAATGCTCAAGATAAGCAGACAGGTGGGTAAAGAGATAAGAGTGAAGACCGGACGGACCAACAGGTAGGCTGATGGACACAGGACAGACAGAGACAGACAAACTCAGATACAATCAGGAACAGACTGACCTTGGTGACCTTTGCAGAGGCAGGAGCCCATGTTCAACAGCTTAGCAGTTATCTGTTCACCATGCTGACTGAGAGTGGGGCGATGGGGAAAAATTAGCAACAGAGAGAAAGAGATGAGTGCGTGTTTGGAAGAAGGGGATCTGGAACAAGCAGAGAGAGCCAACTGGATGATAGAGGTGGAGAAAAGAGGGAAGGAAAAATATTGGTCCAGGAGGAGGAAAAAAGGGACCTGGTGTCCATCCGGTACAGTGAAGCACTGTTTCTCATGTGGGGATGGAAGTGAGGAAAGGGAAAGAGAGAGAAGTGGGGAAAACAGCACACAGACTGCATGCACTCAGTCCCTCCCTTCCTCTCCTCTCTTCTCCTCTCCTCTCCTCTCCTCTCCTCTCTTCTCCTCCCCCTTCTGCTCTCATTTTCTCTCTCAGACCCAACTTTCACACCATCTGCATACTGAAAGTACTACCTTTTATTAAAGTTACATTAGGGATGCACACACTGATATCAAAATTCTGGGCGTTAGCATTAGGCCGACTATTATTTTTTATGTTATGACTAATAACTGATAAATGTTTGATATTGAAATAAAATGATTTTGATAATAAAATAATATTTATAATAAAATATTGAAATAAAAACTAAAACCAATTACTTTAAATGCTACACACAAATTTAGGCATCAAAATATAATGCACAATGTGAAAAATGAATAATTATTTTGTGATTTGCTAAAGATTAATTTTTTTTTTAATTATTAATGTTTTTAAAAAATATATATTTTAAATGAGTATAAATATAGGGGGCAATTAGCATAATTAAATGTCTAATATCAGCCAATAACCAATATTATACTGATATACCATAGACAGCAAAACATTGGCAAACAACCTACATTTTAATCAATTACACGTTCTCATTTGAACATGTTGCTATATCTGGGTAAACACAAAAACACATTTTGTTTTTTATGGCATGTGAATCATTGGTGCTTGGTGACAAACTTCCACACATTTATGAAATTAGACAATAAATAAGTAATTTATCAAAAAAACAACAACAACTAAATAATCAACATGTAGTTCAACTACGTGTATTTTAGATCCTATATGCACAATTTACATAATTTAATATCTAATTATTAATTAATTAATTAATTAGCATAATTAAATATCTAATATCAATAGGCAATATGTTAAAAATCTCTAATATCAGCCAAATATGGTATTGATATATTGTGGGTATAGATATAAGATAGATTGATATACAGATCAAATGGAATTTAAAGGTGTGTTTATGATTAGATCTGTTCAGGTGAGGTTCTGCAAGGTAGCTGAAATTTCCAAAAAAGCAGAAAAGAATAAGGGGTTTCCGTAATGATTGTAGCTTTCTACTGCCCTCCAGTGTCACAAAGGTAAAGTTGTATGAATGGTAGAAAATATAAATATTTATCTATTGATTTACTTATTTAAACCTCTATATGCAATTTACAGCAATGTATTAAAAATATTTATGTCATGTGGTTTTTAGGGGGTCAGTGATTCACACTAGATCTTAAACAGATGGAGGATATAATCTTGCTCAAGGGCACACAGCAGAAGAGTTCAGAGGAAGGACTGAGAGTTATCTCAGCATGGATTTTCAAATACTTATGGTGCTGCTCTAATAACTAATTAATAATAATAATGTTATCTGAAAAGACTGAACAGTGGTGATCTGTAATGTACAAACTTATTATTTTTATTTACAGCAGTTGAGTCATTTTTACTCTTTGACATTTACATGTTTAATTTATGCAAGACAGATATCACTGTCAATAAATACAGAATTGAAATGTGCCTTTATGTGTGTGGCTCATTTAGACAGCAAAAACTGGCAAACAACAAACTACATTTTAATTGATTATCGATTCTCGTTTGAACATGTTGCTAAATCTGAGCAAACTAAAAAAAAACATTTTGGTTTGTATGGCACGTTAATCATTTACTTGAATTCACCCTAATTTATCAAAAGAAAAACTAAATAATCCACATAGTTTAATTTATATCCTATGCATATGGCAAGCCGATTTAGCTTAAAATATTCCAAGTGTTACTCATCGTAATTGCATTTTTACAAGTAACAATTCAATTAGAGAGCTCTACAATTAAATTTTTACTAGTAACAATGCCAATTAGAGAGCTCTCTAAATCTATTTTTACTAGTTATAATTACAATAAGAGAGCTCTCTAATTTAATTAGAGCGCAATTGCATTCTTACTAGTAGTAAGAACTGAATTAGAGAGCTCTCTAATTCAGTTCTTACTACTAGTAAGAATGCAATTGCGCTCTAATTAAATTAGAGAGCTCTCTTATTGTAATTATAACTAGTAAAAATAGATTTAGAGAGCTCTCTAATTGGCATTGTTACTAGTAAAAATTTAATTGTAGAGCTCTCGCAATTGCATTCTTACTAGTAACAATTATGATTATAGAGCTCTTTAATTAAGTTGTTACTAGTAACAATTGTGATTATAGAGCTCTCTAACTGGCATTGTTACTAGTAAGAATTTAATTGTAGAGCTCTCTAATTGAATTGTTACTAGTTAAAATGCAATTACAACTAAAACGGCTTGCCATATATGCAGGTTTTTACTGATATGATAAAGTTTTTGAAAGCATTTATTTAACGAAAACAAGGAGTGTGTGTTGGTCATTTCCGTGTACTGGTTCAGATATAATCATGAAAGGAAATGTCTCTTGGATTTTATTTTTACACTCTCACTTTATTTTTTCCATGTCTCAGAGCTTGCAGTGACACATGTCTGAACTTGTGGCTTCAAAAAGAAATTCTTTTCACTCTCTTTGTCTCTTGTAAACCTGTAATCCTGTAAGCAAACATTGTTCAAATTGTTTTTTACTGACATCACCTCGTCATGTTCTTGCACATGGGCAAGTCTGCTTTTTTTAGCGGCACTGTGAATAGTAGAGGGCCTCTAAGAAAGTAAAAATAGAATAAATCTTAGAATAAAAAACTTAATCTCTTGCTTACCTCAGTATAACATACACGAGTAAAACTACTTGTCTGCTGCTTTTGTAGTATTAGCACAAAGCTAGAATAAATGGTAATTTAGCTTGAGGAAAGTCTGACACCTTGTGGTAATCAAATGTACGTGCACTGTGCACATTTTCATGAGGTTTTTCCACACAAAATAGTACTTGATCTAAGTGAATTTTGGTTCAAACATTTTTATGTGAAAATACTAAAGATTTACACTAATTGCACCATGTCAAAGGGGGTTCTTCTGTCCCTCTCTGAGGTTGCACATGTGTCTCTGACTTCTGTGGGCACATAAATTTCCATTCTCCATTTAACTATCCATTTACCATTCCCACAGATTTTCCTGTTCTTTCACACCAGCTCTATCTATTTCTCAACTTTATCACAGCATGGAAAAACTACATATTATTACCATCTAACATGTATCTTATATTTTTCCACAATATATATTTTTTAATATTTCCACCAAAAACACACACACATATATGTGTGTGTGTGTATGAATATATGAATTCCCCCCCCCAAAAAAAAAATCAAAGCCTCAAATAGTCACTAAAGAGGTTAATAAGGGGAACGCTGATTGAGAGGATTGTGTGTTTTTGTGTGTTCAGGGTTTTGTTTGGCGCTTGGAGATTTGCTAATATAATCTTGCTAATGACACACTGACACACAGACGTGAATGATGAATTATAATTGAAGAACAGGGTACAGCAAATGTATGTGTGCGGCTTTGTGTAACTGAACATCTGAGTGAACACTTGTGCGCTTCATCAGTTTAGTTGCAGATCCTGAACTCCACAGGGTCTTCTCAACAACTTCCACTCACTTCCACCGTCATCTGCGCGTATTGTGTTCTGATTATCTGTCCTAAGTAATCAGATTTATCATGAATAATTAATTGTAACACAAGCCACTGCAATGGTTTTAAGAAGATTTATATGAAAGAATGACATCAGCACACTGAAATTAGACAAAGGCACAGTTTCTGATGATGTATGAGTGAAAAGTCAATCCAACTATTGTTGTTGTTTATTTGAGAGTTAATTAGAAAATTAAGGGCCTTTTTTTCTGAAGATGACTTCAACTGTTCAATAGTCTAAGGTTTAAAGTTCAGCGATTTCATTGCAGGGTCCCCAAAAAGTATTTCATTGTATAGTAAATAGTAAAAATAATGATGAAATCAATTTGCGGTCGACCAGTCATAATTGTACTTCTTGTAAATTGAATATTTATATATTGTTATAGTAAATGAATATTGTTTGAATGATTTCAAGCTACTTGTTCTTTCCTTTTAAAATAGTTTTCGAAGTATCAATTTGCTTTGGCGTATCAACAACAACAAAACTGTAACAAAAAGCAATGTTATGTTCACTTTGGTTCATGAAAAAACTCCTTTTCCCGTGGGACTTGTCAGTTTGATCCCGTCACTCACAATAACACACTCAACACCGCAGATTTTATTTTTGGCTGCTGACTTTGGAGGTCTTTGGTTGAGTGTTTTTCTCCTCTCTGTCTCCATACAGTTTACATACTTCTGTCACCATAAATAACATAACTAAACCAATAATCCATTTTATGAGCTGTCAGTGGTTATTGCCCTGGAGAGGCCAGACTGAACGCTTTACTCAGTGGCCTGGGACGTAAGGTTAACTCTTTTAAGAAGAGATGCAATCAGGGGATGTTTTCAAACTGTCTAAATATTTGCTGCAGTCTAGCTTTAATTAGAAAATTGTATATTTTAAAAAGACCACGTTAAACAAAATAATAATAATTTGACTTTAATAAAAAAAATGTAAAAAAAAACTTTTTGAGTGATTAAAGTGATAGTTCACCCAAAAATTAGAATATCCTGCCATTATTTACTCACTCTCATGTTGTTCCAAACCCATATGACTTTCTTGCTTCTGCAGGACACAAAAGAAGATATTTTGGAAGAATGTTGATGACCAAACCATTTTGGTTACCATTGATTCAAATTGTAAGCACAAAACAAAAAAAAAAATCAAATTACTTCATGTTCCACAGAAGAAAGTCATACAAGTTTGGAACAACCAAAATTCTTCAAAACAAAACTTGCACCCCTGAAAACCAGATAACAGGTCACATGAGCAAAAAATTGACTCATACAAGATGATATTTAAAGATGCCATAGAATGGAAAACTGTATTTACCTTGGCATAGTTGAATAATAACAGTTCTGTACATGGAAATGACATACCGTGAGCCTCAATCACCATTGTTTCCT